AAGCCCTTTGTGGCACTGGGATGGGTTATTTTTCAGACCACCTGTTTCCAATTCTTTCTGTTCATCCCACAAGATCTGGGGATGCTCTGGATCCTTTCAATTAAATAGTGCCATCTGATAGGATCTAGGAAGCATGCCTTCTGTGTTGCTGCACCTGGCCTGTGGAACAACATAGTGCAGACAAGTATTTAAAGGGTCCAACTCTGAACCACGACCCACACATTTTCTTTTAAAATGTCTGTATCACAAACTCAGCTAAAAAGCAATCAGGCATTTGGAATTCTCAGCTGCACCAAAGTGCTATCAAGATAAATTAGTGTTAACCGTAGGAATGCAAGCCTGGCTGGGGAGGATTAACAATTGCATTTTCAGATAGCACCTAAGCTAAAATAACAACTTTAGGCACTAAATCTTAGGCCCCTTTGTTTGTAGAGAGCCATGGAGATGGTCTTAAAAGAAATACTCAGAAGCCATTACCCCCACCCCCCCAAAAAGGCAGAAGCATTCCTTGAGCCCTGGGAAAGGAGACAGTATTAGGAAGAAACTCAAGCTGGCTCCTCCCTGATTCACAGGTGTATAAGAGGGAGGGGAGAAAAACACAACAAGATTTGCAAGATTCTGATTATAGCCTATCTCAATAAAACTTAATTCTAGTCTTCTTGTGGAATCTGGTCTGGACAATCTTGAAGGGCTGATATTGTTTAATCCAAAGCATCCATCGTATAGGAAAGGAATGACCTCATCCTCTCCATCCCTCATTATAAATTCCAGTACACATATGAACTATCCCATTCAGTATGGTTAACCCCATCAATCACATTTCATTCAAATAAAAGGATATATCCATAAAGAGGGCTTGTAACCCAGCCCTCTTTAGGCTTCTTTCTCTTTGGCCTCTAGTATCAATCCTGTCAATAAATTAAATTGTGCTTCAAGAGATTTATATAAACTTTACTCCAGTGGCCTTCTGTAAGATGGTAAAAACATGGCCTCTTCTCCAGGCACTGGGTCAGAAAATTAAATGAATCTGTTTTTAGGGGGTTATTGATATGGATACGTATGCTGCCCCATGTGTGATGTGTTTCAGTTTTTTAATGTTCTTGTTGTTTTTAATTTACTATGCAACATGCAGAGTCATATGTCGAGTGAGTCATATAAATCAGTCATATGAATCAAATAAGTATGATTGAATTAAGTCCCAGTGATATAGCCACATTATTTGTAAGTCCCCACACTAAATTTGTCATTATTGTGAGGGAGTGAAGTTGGAGTTGCTGCCTGTGCTTTGGAAAGGTAAGGTGCAGCCGGGCAAACACTTCTCATCACATTTCTATTGTTTCCCTGACTACTCACAAGCATCCAGGCCAGCTTTCCAGCTGCCTGGAATAATGAGCCACACCCTGGCGTTTTCAAGAATGTGCCAACTTGTGGCTATGCTGTGGAATGTCCAGTTCCTGAAAAACAAAGAACCTTCACAATTATATGTTAATATTTAAAATACTAAAGGCGTGTGGGTTTTTAAAATTAAATCCACTTGTAATGAAGACTGATAGAAAAAGGAAATAATTTGCCTGTCTCAATAAATTTACATGGCAAAAAATGGCTTCACCAAATCCAAACCTAGCAACAAACCTATCATTACCTATCCAACCCTAATGACAATAGGTTTAGCAACACAGATTGGAAAAAACTGCATTTGAAAAGTGTACTTTAGTACTGCCTTTCTTTCACTTTGGATAAATTTAGTTCTTAATATATATAATCTCAGTGTTCAAAAAGGATGCATAAAAGGACTTATGGGACCATTTGCTTTCTTAAAGGCAGAACTATCCATCAAGCAATTTGCAACGGTTACATAGAAGCTAGAACAAGGTTACCTTGGGAAATGAAATCATTAAACAAAAACAACCTCAGGCAATTTGAAGAAACCAGCCAAGCTGTGCACACTGCCGACTTAGGAACAGAGAGTTATGCAATTACTATTTCTGAGGTTCAGATTTAATTGTATTTATTTGAACCTAAATTCCAAAGATGCTTGAGGCAGCAGTTTGGGGTTCATATTTGAGAACAGGACTCTGTTGGAGCATGGTTTTGTTGGTTACCAAGATAACTCAGCACTAGGCCAAACAAGTCCACCTCAGGAAGAGTGCATGCAGAATGACTTTCATTTTTCAACAGCAGGATCCAAAGCAACCTTCTTGCTCAACAGGTAAAACAGCAGCTGTGTAGTTCAGCTTGCCAGCAAGGCCAGCTAAAAATTGTGGACCTCTGCTCATTCTCTGTCTCACGAAACAAAACATCCCATTCCTTGGGAAACCAAACTCACTTCCTCAAACCATAGGAAGTTTGCAGGAAAAATCTATCTCTGGTTGCAGTCCTCATCCTAAACCATAGCATGTTTTATTGAATAAACCCATGTTTTATTGAATACATCACTATGGTTTACGTTTGTAAACATGCTAGGTCATAAATCATGATTTACAAGGTACCAAGGCTAGCCTGACACAACTGCCAAACTACATCCTGCTTAACATCATGCGAATTAAAAAGAAGACTCCACGGTGCCGCGCGACCCATCGCCCCTCTATAGTTCTGGGCGGGGCCGTGGCCTCCACGTAATTTTCCCTTCAGAACTACAAGGTCCAGCATTCCTTGGGCGCCGAGGGCTCGCGGCGTCGCGTTCGTTGCTAGGGATTCCTAACGGTCCCCTTCTTTCCACCTGCGGCCGAATGCCGCTGCCGCCACTCTCTCCCGCTCGGGTGTTCGCTGAGTTGGTGTCCCCGGCCGTCGGCTTGGGCACCGGAGAGAATGAGTCGCCCAAAGCCGCCGAAGGAGGGCCGCCTGGGAGGGAAGTTCACGTGAGTGGCAGCGCGGAGCTCAGCGCCAGACCCGATCGGGCAAAAGTCACGGTTTACTTGAGAAGCAGGAAGGGAGAAGCCGGCGCAGCGCGGAGCAGCGTAACTCGTAGGCTGGACTACGTTGCCCAGACGGCCCGCCAGCGCGGCGGGATCTCGGTGGGTAAGAGCGAGCCCCTCGCGCGCACCCGCAGTGGGCTTCCCGCCCTTTGCAAGCCCCGGATGGAGTCGCGTTCTGAGGTCGTCTCGGGCAGACGTCTTCAGTCTTTCACAGCCTTTCACAGCCTAAGCCCTATCCCTCCCGCAGAGGACTTGCGTCCTAGCGGAGTTGAAACGAAAAGTCCAGTTCTTCTGAGCGGGACGTAAGTATATTTCTAGGCATTTTGGTATTGCCATCACTAAAGAACCTATGCTTGACGCCCACCTAATTTTAGCTAGCATGGGGAATAACTAGCCGAGCTTCAGGCGCAGAACATAGTGGCTGAATTACGTAGCTTGGCTGCTTTGTGGCTCGGCGTGTTGTGCAGATCGAAATACTTGGATAGAGGATCATCTGGGAAGTCCCCAAAGCATCCCAGGGGTAGGCAGTAGCAAACCATTTTTGTAATGCGGCATAGGTGCAGTCACCAGGCATTGACCTCAACTTAATTTGATTTAAATCTCGCTTTTCATTCGGGAGCCCAAGGCAGCTTATGTAGTCCTGCCTCCAATTTTTCACTGCAGGACAAGCCTGTGAAGGAGGTTGAGCTGACAGAGATTTATTGGCCCAGAATCACCAGGGAACTCGGGTGACTAGAGACTGGGTCTCCTTGTTACTGGTGTGGTACCTTTATCACTATGGTGCAGTGGTTTGAGGACCATGTATGTATGATATACACCTTTATCTGAGCTGTCAGGCTAGAAATACTGTATAGAGCTGTCATGTCATACCTTCACACTAACGATTCCATGACCCCACCATCCCAAAAAGGGACTATTTCAGTATATATTCCTATGATTTTACACATCAGTTGACCATCAGGAAGCAGTGTAGTTGGGCAACTAGCAACACACTTATGTACTGATCTAAAAGTCATAATTTCTGCTGAGTTCCATATGAATGTAATTCCAATCCAGTTTCAGACTTCACTCGGTGGAAGCTTACTGAGTACCTTTGGATTAGTTATGATACCTCAGTCTAACCTAGAAATAAGACATAACATTGTTTATGGGAAATAATTTTGAATGAAAAAGCTAGATATAGATATAGATATAGAGCCTTCAAATCAGTCAGGACACCTGGTGAGTACACAGACAAGTCCATGCAATTTTCTAGGCAACATTTTCAGAGGTGCTTTGCCATTGCCTTCTTTTTAGGGCTGAGAGAGTGACTATCCTAAAGTCACCCAATTGTTACTAGCCACTATATTTATTTGAATTTATGTTATTCACAGTTCTTCATACAGTTCAGAAAATCCTAGAGAATAATTATGTTTCTTTTTAATTGTTTGTGATGCTAATGAGTAACACACCCTATTTCTGTCTCACATGTAGCACTTTAGAAGATTATCAGGAGTTTATAGGTACCAGGTAATTTAGGATATTCCTGATACTGCATCTTTCAAAGCATATCTTGTTAATTATTTTCTTGAAATTGTGCACTGAATTCATGCTTATTAGGATTGTTTAGCCCTTTGAATTTGAAGGCAAAAAGATGCTTCACATGATCCCAGGAAGAGGCACAACTGTCTCAAGAAGTTGCAGATGGGCTACTTTTGTTCACCCTTCTACTCTGAAGCACTTTTTTACTTTTGAATAGAAGGTCATGCACATCCCTAATGGTTACATGTTTTCATGGTAAAATATTAGTTAAAAACATTGCCTAAGAAAGGATGTTAAGGTTGGATCTAAACTTGATATTTATTAATATAGCCCTGTTGATTTTAATGAATCTGTTCTGAATCCAACTCACTTTTACTAAACACATTTACTGTCTATTTTGAAATACGTTGCCACATTCTGTTGTTTAGTATGCCTAAAAGAGCATTGTTTTTTTTGAGTAGTGCACTTAAAATTACAATTTTTCCTCCCCAAGGAGAATGATGTGACTGTGACAAAAAACTTCAGTAGAATAGACAATGCATATAAGATGGAAGCAGAGGCAAGTATCTTAAATAAAAGCATTACTATTAGTCTCTAATATTGTGTTCTTTTTGATTTGAGAAAACTTTTAAAAAACCCATCTAGATACAAATTGTTAATTTTATTAAATTCACACATTTCCTTTTTCATTTACTGTTATATCATGTTAAAGCTAATTTAGAATTTTGGTGGAAAACTTGTTGGAAATATTCTTGGGGCAATATTCAGTAAGCATTGGGGCAAATGTCTCTTCTACATACCTTGTATCTTGGTCAACTAAGAATGGGGAATATTTTCAGGTAGTACAGATAAAGTGAATAGACAGACACCACTGTTGGAGAGATATGTTGCTAAACTGTAACACAGAATTTTAATTGAAAGTGTGTGTACCTTTAGTTGAGCAAAATTCCTGCTTGTTTAATGATGATCTCTCTGATAGATTCCTTTGGTCCTAATCGTTGTCCTTGAGTTCTAGGCCAGGAGTTGGAAACCTTTTCAAGTGGTTGGTATTATGTTTAATGTGGCAGATACTTAATGTAAAAAAAAAATAGATAAAATTTGGGGGAAAACTGTGAGAGCCCTGAAATCCAGATAGATTAAATAAATCTAATTATTTCAAAAATATTTTTGTTGAACATCATTTAGGGTGTTGAAGTGCCACCCTATTTTTAAAGCATTTGCATAGTTCTCACTGACCTGAACTTTTATGCCAGTGTTTGTTCAGGATCACCCCACAGTACTGAAGAAAGCTTAATATTAATGTAGATAGTAACTGCAGTTTTATAAGCAGGTGCAATTTTATAAGCATTTTGTTTAATATCAATGTTTAAATGTTATATGTTTAGTTGACTATACATTATAGCTCTGTTAGATTTCTAAAGTAGATTTGTAAGATTTTTTCAGTCTTGCAACCTTTAATATTTATATACAACATGGCTTAGCAATGCTTTAAGATAGGATTTACTGCATTGGGATATTAACTAGTTGTATCAGTTGCACCATAAGTATTTTCAGATAATACCCTAGCCAACACCTAAAACATTACATGCAATACTATTTTAACAGATATACAAAGTTACAATACAGGTAGTCTCCGGGTTAGGAACACCCTGGTTAAGATGACCCATAGTTACAGATGACCCATAGTTACAGAATGGAGCCTATTGTAGCAAAATTTGAGTTAAGTACACAATGATTTGAATTAAATACATAGCAGTTCAAGTTTGTTACACAATACTGTTTATACAGTATTATACAATTATACTGTTCTGGCTTACATACAAATTTGACTTAAGGACAGACCTTGGGAATGGAACCTGTTCTTAATCTGGGGACTACCTGTTGTATTGTCACATAAATTTATAAACTTTGCATTTATAAACTACTGGTGTTGCTGTTTGTATAGTATTTTTTATTCTTAATATTTATCAGATTTGTATCCTGTCTTTCTGCCAAAAATAATGCTAATGATGGATAATGTAATAAAAACAGATTAATTAAAATCACAATTTGAACGTAATATAATACAGTAAATAGACATAAAAGGTAACAGTAATCATACAATAAAATATTATTAAAAACTATGCACAGATATAAATGTAAAAGATGTATCTTGACTCTCTTTGAAAGCAGAGAATGCTTCAAAAGGAGTGCATTTTGCAGTTGGGGAATGACACAAGGGACAATTCTTTTCTCCACCTCTGAACTGTGGCCCCTTACATGAGAGAATATCCTTAGAAGAGCTTTTTCTGCATATCTTAAAATCTGTGATTGGTTCATAGAAAGATACTGCCACCACCTGGAACTCTAGAACATGTAGAGCAAGCTATCAGTCTGAATTTTTCAAGGGAATTTGAACCACTTTCAAAACAGGCTGAATTCTAATCTGTCTAATTTTTTGTTGAGCAACAGCACTACTGCTTATATGGATGTAACTTCATTTTGTTTACCTTCATATAATCAGACTAAGCAATTCAGAATCACAGAGTTGGAAGGGACCTTGGAGGTCTTCTAGTCTAACCCTCTGCCTAGGCAGGAATCCTCAGGCCATCCCTGACAAATGGCAGTCTGACCTTTGTTGAAAACTTCCACTGACAGAACACCCACCACTCCAGGAGGCAGGCTGTTGCCTCATGTTAAGCCCTTGTGTTAAGGAAATTCCTCCTTAAAAGTTTGGACCTCATTCTGTAAACCTTCCACCATTGGTTCTTGTTCTACCCTGCTACGGAGAATATATGCCCTCTTTCCTGTGACAGCTCTTAAAGTATTGGAAGTCTGCTATCATGTCTCCCCATAGCCTTCTTTTTAGGCTAAGCATAACCAGTTCCTTTAACCATTTTGCACAGGAGTTAGCCTTCAAGCTTGGCCCATCACCATCTTGTCACTCTTCTCTGCACTCTTCCCAGGTTTTCAGCATCTTTCTTGTTTTGTGATGACCAGAACTGGACATAAAATTTCTGATGTGGTCTGACCAGTGCAGCAGAGTGGAAATACCACTTACCGTAATCAGAACATTATACATCTTTTGATACAGCCCAAAATTGCATTTGACCTTCTGGCAGCTGCACTGCACTATGGGTCATGCTTAATCTGTAGTCTACCAGGATGCCTAGATCCCTCTCACAAATACTAGTGCCCAGCCATCTATGTATCAGTCTTGTATTTGTATATCTGATTTTTCCTACCTAAAGTCAGAATCCTACATTTCTTATCATTGAACTGCATTTTGTTGGAAAAAGCCAAATGTTGAAGTCTGTCAAAATTTGTTTGAAACCTGATCCTGTCTTTTGAGATGCTAGCAATTCCCCGCCCCCCCAGCTTTGTGTCATTTGCAAATTTGAGGATCATCTCTTCTATTTCCTCATCTTATTCATAAAGATGTTGAAGAGCAGTGGGCCAGGACAGAATCCTGAGGTACCCTGTTGCATACTTCCTTCCATATAGATGTTGATCTGTTAAGGACCACATGTAGGGCATGGTTGTTCAACCAACTGTGAATTCATCTGTTAGAAAGACCATCCATCCTACACTATTTCATTTTTTTCAGAAGGAAGCTGTGGTTACCTGTCTTACTGAAGTCTGAATACACTACATAAACAGTATTTCCTTGGTCTACTAAGCTAATCACTTTGTCAGAAAAAGCAATAAGATTTGTCTGGCATGACCTATTTTTAACAAATCCATGCTAGCTTCTACTAAATCACCTTGTTCTTTTCTGATTACTTAACAAACCCACTGCTTAATTATCTTTTCTAGGATTTTTCTAGATATTGATGTCAGGCTTACTTATCGGTAGTTTCCTGGGTCCATTCTTTTCATTTTTGAAGACTGAGACAATATTATCTCTTCTTCATTCTTCTGGCATTTCTTTCATACTCCAGGAATTCTCCAACAGTATAGTAATTGGTTCTGAGATCATATCTGCAGTTCCTTTAGCACCCTGGGACGTAATCCAACCAGGTCCAGAGACTTGAATTCATTCAAAGCAGCTAGGTGTTCTCTTACTACTCCTTTACATATTTTTACCAGCATTTCTCTTCTGCAACCCCCTCCCCCAGTATGGCTTCTGACAGGTTCAACCTTTAGTGAAAAGGCAGATATAAATATAGGTAGTCCTTGCTTAGTGACCACAATTGGGACTGGCAGCTCTGTTGTTAAGTGAAGCAGTCACTAAATGGGAAATCACGTGGCCATGACTATGCTTTCCTTTTCCGCTCCCCTGCCCTTTGGAATGGCCACCCCGGTGCTGGCATAATTAACAAGAAGGGAATTAACGTTTGTATTTACATTCATTGGAGAGGAAGGGATTACAAGAAAGTAAGCAGGCACACTATGGGGAATACACATCAAAAGCAATGTGCTGGCGCACAACCACTAGCATGCTATACAAACAGCCCAGTGTATTCCCTATTGTGTGCCTGCTTACTCTCTTGTAATCCCTTCCTCTCCAATCTCTCTGCTCTGCAAGTGGGGGGAAAAAAAACCACAGGTCAGGGACAGGACAACGCATACTGACTATAATGGTGATCACATGATTGAGGGACACTGTGAAAGTCATAAATGAGAGCATCGGTCATAAAGTTATTTTTCCAGCACCATCGTAACTTTGAACGGCAAGGACTATCTGTAGAGATTAAGTAGTTCAGCCTTCTCCCTGTTGCCTGTCACCATCTTGCCATCTTCTCCAACCAGTGGACCAGCCATTTCCTTCACTTTCTTCTTGTTCCACATGTACCTAAAGAACACTTTTTTGTTATTTTGGTGTTCATTAGCTCATTTCCAGCCTTAGCCTTCCTGACCCCATTCTTATAGATTCAGGCTATTTGCTGACATTCTCCTTTCGTTATATTATGCTCCTCTTTTCATGTTTTTTAAACTTGCCCTTTTTATCAGTTTATCAGAGAGCACTATATGCAGCTGTAAAATCACTCTCAGCAGTCTCCCATCTTTCAGTCTCTTTGCTATTGTTTGAGTATGGCCCTTAATTATCTCATTTTTACAATTCTCCAACATCATAACCTGTATTTGCCAGGATTTTCACCCATGGAATCCTTCCTGTTTTTCCCCTTAGATTACTGACATCAGTCTCTTGAAATCTAGAACACTAATCTGACTACCTTCAGTTCTCCCTGCAATTTTGTTCTTAACTTTCTTTAAAGTACAAGAAACAGTAGAGCTGATGTCAACCACATTTTCATCACAGCTTATTCCAAAGTTTCAGATTGCATGTTGCTTTGTGAATATATTAAATAGGTAACATTCTGGAATTCTGTGAGTGTTTACTAGTACGTAGACTCTCGAAGAGGATGAGAGCTTCTGAAACACATTGATCAAGGTCTGATCCTATCAGGAGATTCATGATTTTGAGACCTGGCCCAGGAGGGCCAGAACTAATTAAAAAATGTAGCAAAGAGAGTATAATAGGGAAAATGTATTGTTTCAAAGCCAGATTAATTTACTACTCTTGGTTTACTTTGCAGATTGTGAACCAGCTTTGTAATAATAAACAGTGGTAAATAAAAAAAGTGAGAGGCTGGAAAAGATGCATATATATTGCTGTCCTCTGTTTTGATCAACTTGTAATTAAAGCACTGAAAAAAGACTTCTACTTTTTATACTCACTTATAGGTCTGCATTATATTTACTGATTTTGGGAAAATGCAAGATACATGTAATCATCTTGTTGAGAAACTAGATAGCTCTGTTACCGTCAGTCCACCTCACTTTTACCATACAACAGAGGCTGTAGATACCCTTCGGTAAGTTTCTCAAACTTGTCTAGACCCACACAAGTTGGATAAATTTTTCTTGTCTCCCCAAACTTACTTCCCTAATTTAGGAAGGAATTATAAGAAATAAACAATAATAGAACAAATAAGAAAGCTGTAGTGGAATAAGCAAGATGATGATGATGATGACTATTGTCATTGTACTTATTATAACCCACCTTTATTTTTTATAGAACTTCAGGCGGCATTCATAATGCTGTCTCCTCCTATTTTCCGCACAAGAATCCTGTGAGGTGGGTTAGGCTGAGAGACACTGACTGGCCCAAGTCACCCATCCAGCTATAGATTGCTTTCTAGTATTGTAGCATGTAACTACCGTATTTTTCCGTCAATAAGACGCCCCCATGTACAAGACAACCCCCACTTTTC